AGAGTTACATCATGTTTGGTATATCTTTTAATTTTTATTATTATGATTTTCTGAAAAACTATTCTTGACCCACAGCACTCATTTACACTCACTGGATTAGAGAAAACAAGTTTTTCCCATTTCACCACTCTGCAAGGTAAAAAAAAAAGTTCAAATAATGGTTTATCCCCCCACCTAATACCCCAAGTGAGTTTAAACCTCTAAGAGAAACAATCACTTCCACCTAAACTGTGTTGTTGTCAATCAGAATGGAGTCATGAATGAACGAAGGACACGCTCTCAGTGGACAGTCTGATTGGACAGAAGATGGAGTGCTAACGGAGTAGGGGAGTGGTGGAGAAGGGTGGGGTGGATGATGCACAGAGCACAGAGAGCCTCAATGACGTAGCAGGAGACTGAGTGCTGAGAGAGGTGGAGAAAAAGAGAGAGGGGGATGTAACGACAGAGAGGAGCATAGAATGCTTGAAAGCACGCTACAGTACACCTCATTGTTACCCAAGAGAGTGCACACACCATGACTGACTAGAAGAGAGAGCAGAGAGACAGGGAGAGTGATCTCCTACCTCCATCTGAGTAAGTATTGCTTCCTCCTCTTAATCTGATCTGTTAACTGCAGAGATGCCTCTTAAATGCCTACTAAAACTACTTCTGCACATGCTTTTGAATAGAAAATAGGATTCCTACATTTTATATTGTGCAGAAATATGTTATATTCTATACTCTGTCTTTTTTTATAGACTCAAAGTTCAGGGGAATTTGAAGAAAGTAAAGCATGGATTCATTTTGATGTAATTTGACCAAATGTGATGCAGATCTAAATTATTTGCCCCCGGCACTGACATTTCCATAGAAAGTCTCACTTGCTCTGAAACAGAAATGGCATTTTGTGTTGTGTGGCACGGGAGCAGTGGTGGGAAACTGTGGGTGCACTGGCTCGTGTTTTCTCCAGCAGTCGGGGGAAGAAGTGCATTTGGGACCGCTAGGCTTCCTGTGCGAGGTCAATTAAATACTGCATGAGACAGAGCACTAAAAGCCTGTCCCGTGAGGAGCAAAGTGCTTTGTGTTTGTGTGTGTGTGTGTGGGGGGTGTAGGGTAGTGTGTGTGTTAGAACATAAGTGTGCAAGATTTGATTAAATTTGATGAAGCAGCAATGTTGAGAGGACTGAAAACCCTTATCCCAACATTAAGATCTTGGTTAAAAACTCTTGTTAAATGAAAAAAAGTGGGTCTTATACTTAGATAAATGACTCGTCTCTAAGATATGGAATGGTTAAAAAAAAGTAGGGCGCCATTGCATTTTAATAAGGCTGACATTCCTACAGTTAGCTCAGCCCACAACTTAAAATTCACCAATTAGACCTGACTCAAAACGAGAGCCCAAATCAGGTCATCCCGGAACAAGCGTGTTTTTTAATAAAGCATCTGATGCAGTCCTGCACTGTACTCCAGGTAGACCGCTCTCTGGGCTCCAAGCTCTCTGTTCTTTGAAGCAGTTTGGTGAAGTCAGGTTGAGCGATTCCCAGGAGCAGGAAGAAGCTACAAATACACAGTGTTACCAGAAAGGCCTGGGACAGTGAGTGTGAAGGAAAGAGATCCCCAACCAGTTCCGCAGCCTCCTTCTCTTCTCACTACATCATATGAAAGCTTATTTTCCACCCAATATGAAATGAGAATCCTTTCCATCATCATGCCTCACTGTAGTAGCATCTCTATAACAGCTGCCTGTTTTACAGGTTCCAACAAGCCTTTTTTATTTATTAAAAAAAAAACATCTTGTGACTCATCCAAAAACAGCTGGGGAAGAAGTGAGGACGGAAATAACTTGGAAGTAAAATGGCTGCAGGGAGAGGATATTCTGAAGTTACATGAGAGCAGGAGGAGGGTGGAGCTGCTGAGGACAGTGTGGAGCATCAATCTGGTCGGCTCTGATATTGATCCATTCAGCTCTACTCTAGTTTCACTCCTCCCTGCAAGGCTCTGAAACATCAACCTCTGGCAGAGATGCTGCCTCAGCTCCTGCTGAATTTAGGAGCCTTTTCCCAAGTTTAAAGGCCTAAGAAGCAGACTTCTAAGTGCACAGATATGACTTTTTTATTGGCAGATCTCAAGTTGCTTCTCAACCTTACAAAATTTTTACCATAATACTTAAGAGAGGAAAAACGGGTTTTCATTTGTGCATCAATACATTAGACTTATATGAAATAAAAAAGTTCATAAAAGTACTTTTTCCTGGCTAATATATTAACAGACTGAAAATGGTGGGATTACGTATATGCTGGGAGGAATTCATTACTTCAGTATTAATACAAAATTAAGGCAAAAATGTCAGATGTCACGACATGGTGTTTCAGAACTTTTTAGAAGATCCACAAATAAGCAAACCATCGAATGTTTTTTTATTACTCCCTTTTACTGAGTGCAAAGATTTGAAATTACTTAAATATAATACATTGCCATGGCGTTTGCTAGAGTTATTTGCTGAGTCATGTGTTGGTTGTGGTGAAAAGAGACATTGAATGCTTGGAGAAATCTATTCCAATGCTTGGCTGATTTGAAACTAAATTAAAAATTTTCCACAGATTAGCTGGTAATGCACACATTTTCTGCTTCAATATTCCAGTCTTTAAATAAAATGAAAGATAAAACTATTTCAGACTTTACTTTTCTCTCTTAAAAATTATTATCCTGAGCTTGTGTCTTTATGATTTTTTTTCTATTGTGTAAAAAGATTTTTTGTTCAGATTCTTTGCAGTAAAGAACTGAGAAAAGGTTATAATCAGTTGAAATTTTACCTACATAGATAACCTTTTTGCTTAAAAGGGTATTTTCAAAACTATTAGATAGATAAAGTAAACAAATATAGGTTTATTTTCCACATGCTTTTCCATTTTATTAGATATTTATTTTGCCTGGAAACACTTTCCATGTTTTATTCTCAGCACATATTTCCAGTTAGCTGATCATCAATAATGCCAAGCCAACTATCTCCATTTCCTGTGTAAATTATCATTGGCCACTATGTATAGAAAAACAGTCATGATGATGGTGTCATGCCAATATCTATATGTTGTTTTTCAGGCCATTTGAAATGTTTAAAATTACTTTGGCACAAAGTTCAGTCCAAATTAACCTTTTTACTTTTCCCTTTTTTTTCTGCTGTACAAACAGGACTGTATTAAAAATAGTTACCATCCAGAAAAAGCATGTGATTTTCACAGGCTAAACAAAAATATCCACCTTGACCACTGTGCATTTTTTAAAAGGGGAAGCTGTCTTTGCTGCAGAGTTTGTATAAATGTCTTTCTGGTTTTGTCTTTTCTTGTTGAGTTCACACTAAGACAGACATTCCAGCTTCAGAGCAACTGTAACTGAGCCAACCTCAAATCTGCTTTGCTCCTTCTTGAGGGAATTCGTGGAAACTCAGTGAACTTTGACAATTCTCAGCCATCTTCTCCCCACTGCCAGTCCCCCAGTCTGTGGCGGAAGGAGGAGTATGAGGCAGAGAAGAGCTATATTTAGAACCACCAAACACCGAAGACATAACATGTTATTCTATCATCTTCTGTTCCAATGATTTCTTTGTAGACTTTGTATGTTTTCAGTTCTTTTAATCATTTTTTCTCCCCCATTTTAGTTGGAAACAGTTGTGATAATTAGCATCAGAAAAGGTAGATCATTAGAAAAACCACATCCCTTGTGTTTCAGATATGTGTTGCTCCAGTTTCCAGTTTTCCTTTGTATTCTTTCTAATATTGCCTCTGCTGGCCACTGCCTGCAGTTTCTCAATAGTTGCCTTGTGTATTGTGTACTAATGATGAAAATAAAGCCACCATATCGTCTCTGATCCAGAGGGATCTGGGAGTTGTTGCAATAATAATATGCTGCTGCTGTATGTGTGTGTGAGAGTGCTTGCCGGCTCACTTCCCTTTAATTTTGAAAAGCCATGCAGAAATGTACTGCCCCGAGATATTTTCTGCTAAAAGCCTTGCTGGAGTGCACTTAATTCCTGAGAAGCCAAAGTTAAATGAGAGTGAGAGTGTGGTGAATAAATGTGAGTATTTTCTTCAGCATGGAGCCCAAAGTGGAGGGTCACTTGGTGCCTGAGAAACCCGGTCCTGCCTAGTACTTTAAGACCGTTTTCAATAACTGCTACCTCACTCCCAGCTTATTTAACACTTCTGATGGACCGTACACGGCTGTCTGCTGACTCACAGCAGCATTTCTGTTTTGAAGTCTCATGCATCACTTTGCCTTCATTAAGATGTTGTAGGGCTGGCAGACTGAGTACTCGCCCTATGACCCTTTTCCTTTTTAGTATCTCCTAAACCATGTCATTAAACTATGTGTATTTTATAAACAAAACAAGCAGTTAAAAAAAATGGTAATCTTTAATTGGATTTCAAAGCATTTTGCTAATACTGTAGTCCCCCAATAGAACACTGGTCAAGGTTTTAAAAGATATGTCTCAAAACAGTAGCATCTAAAAACTTTTTTTTTAACAGATCTGTGTGTAAAATAAAATAAGTACTGTCAAATTAAAATATAGATGGGAGTTTTGTTGGCTGTTTAGGTCTAAAAGCTAATTAACTGTTATGAACATAAGAAGATGTTGGGTTCCTTAAGGCTATATTCCTCAACCACCTTCTTTGAAATAACTACATACTCTTCTTAGATCATATTAAGAATCACTATATATCATACAAATGCTGATGTCGTAACTTTATTTCATGACATGACCACAGTTAATTACAGTCATTGTCTTCATCCACGTTATAAATCAATTGGATAACATTTTCTCCAACTTAATAAAGTTAGTTAACCACTGAGAAGATATAACTTAAGACCTTTAACATTAACGCAAAGTCTGCTGCTGTAGCTGTACTACTACTATAGTTCTACTACTATTAGCCTGAACACATAAAATCTAATGACTTATACTTTTTTTTTGCCGCTGTCCTCCACTAATCTGGGACAGGGCTGGGCAGAAACGCCCAGTCTTTTGCCTCCCCAGACACTTCCTTCAGCTCCTCTTGGGGAAAGCCTGGGGTGTTCTAGGGTCAGCCAGGAAATATAGTCCCTCCAGTGTGTCCTGCACCATCCCCTGGGACACATCTCATGGGATGTGCCTGAAACACCTCCCGAGGAATGCATCCAGGAGGCATCAGACACAAATGTCAGAGCCACCACAGCTGATTCCTCACCTGGCAATGGAGAAGCAGCTCTACTCCAAGCTTCTCCCAGATGGTTGGTTCCTCACCCTATCTCTAAAGAAGTACATGGCCACTTGCAGAGTAAGCTTATTTCAGCTGCTTGTATCTGAGATCTCATTCCTTCAGTTATTACCCAGATTTGATTATCATAGGTCAGGATAGGAATGTGGACTGACTGAAAGAATCCAGAGCCTCCTCTATTGGCTCAGCTCGCTCTTCTCCACAACAGACCATTACAGCATCTGCATTAAGCAGATTATCCTTCTGAGACATCTGTCGATCTCTCACTCCATTCTCCCCTCACTTAGGAAAAATATCCTGAGACACTTGAACTCCCCCACTTAAGAAGGGAATTCCCCTCCAACCTCAAGAAGGCACATCACCCAGTTGAGAAACCCGGACTCGGACTTAAAGGAGCTGAACTTCCTCCTGGCCGCTTCGTATTTGTCTGCAAACTGCCCCAGCGCATGCTATAGGTCCTGCCAGGAAGGAAGGAGCCAGCAGAACCACATCAACCTCAACCAAACAGAGATGAAATCCACCGGTCCTCAAACTGGACCTCTCTGGCTTTGGGTGCACCTTGAAAACCATGTCTAGAAAAGTAATGAACCCGACTGGTGCGGACAGCTCAGCTGGAGTCCAACATGCATCAGAAATAGGTCCAACTTCATGCCACAATGGGGACAGACTACGGCTTAACTTTTACAGAGACCAGATGGCCTTTAGTAAATGGCCATTGACCCAAATATTCCTGGAGAGGCCCCACAGGACACCAAGAGGAATATGGCTGATGGCTTCTCTAGGTGGACAGGTTCGGCAAACTTGGAAAAACTCTTGAGCACCTAGTAGGTGGTAATGATGCCTTGCAGCTGGCATCACAGACGTTAGAATCTAGCTGCAGACATCAGTCAAAAGCCCCATTTACACTTCCCTTTTGAAACTGTGCCGAGATCGGTCCGAGCACCTTAACTGAGATAACTGTTGAGTGTAAATGGCACAAACCAAACCAAGGCAAACTGGTACTAGTTCAACAGTAGGGCTTGGCGTGGTTCACTTCTGGCACGGTTCTCAGATAACAAAGAGCACATGAGAAGACTGTGTCGTCTCCTTACACTCAGCCTCCATAATTAGGAAATTTCAGACATTCATAAAAATACTAGCTTCCCTACCGTGCCTTATGATTTCCAGTGATAATTCTGCTTTGCAGTGTGATGAACCTCAATGTCTGTCATTGTTTCCTGCGTCTGTAAGCGCTGATTAGAATATCATTTGTCCTATCCACTTCCCAAAAGTTGATCAATTAAATTCACCAACGGCTGTCTTCTTCACCTGACTCTTCGCAAACGACAAAATATCACAATGAGAATAAAACATAACTTTCTGAATGCTACAGGCGCCACCATGTTGGTTTGCTTGTTTACATCTAGAGAACAGTAGTACCGTAGATGGTAACTAGGGGGCGAGGAACCGTGCTAGCGTGGTGTGTAAATGGCCATAAGGAACCGAGCACTGCATGGCTAACTGATCCAAGCCGACAAGGATCGGTTTTCAGATGATAGTGTAAATGGGGTAATAGTCAGCAGCTCCCTGCTCCCACTCTAGCGAAGAACTGCTTCTAGGCCTACCTACATTTTCTGGCCATGATATTTCTGAACTTCCAGACTCAAATTTCTACCTCTGCAACCGCCTTGGCAGTGGTTCACTTGGCCCTATGTTACCCACTGCCTCATCAGCCTAAATACATCAAACCTAATCAGAGGTGTCAAGTAACGAAGTACAAATACTTTGTTACTGTACCTAAGTACACTTTTTAGGTATCTATACTTTACTCCACTACTTATTTTCCTTCCTACTTCTGACTTCTAGTCTTCTGACTTCTACTTTAAGTAGATTTTGGAGCACATAGTTTTTCACTTTTACTTGACTAAATAGGTCCAGTTGATACTTCTACTTTTACCAGAGTGTTTTTAAACTGCAGTATCTATACTTCTACTTAAGTAACAAATGTGTGTACTTTTGACACCCCTGAACCTAATACAAGCTGTCATTAACAGTGGTTAAATTATTGTAACAGTGTCTTCTAAAGATTCTATATAAAAATAATGCTAAATCAAACAGGCAGCTGCAGCTCACCCAAAATATTTTGCTAGAGTTCTTATCCAGACCATAAAAATGGCTAATATTACCATTGGGGTAATGTTATTACTTCAGGAGCAATGGGCTGACACATTGATTAGCACTCTGGGGGACAGTCTGTGTTTTAGGGCCTCAATCTTGAACCTAAGTTTCAAACCAGTCCTCTTGTATCCTTTCCTCTATAGAAACATCCTGTTCTCTAACCACTAGGTCAGCTTCCCCCCTTCAGATCAAACACTATTCCATCAATTATTTCTCAATGTCATGTTTAGATATTTTTTCTGTTTATTTTCATTTTACATTTTACTCTTCCATTTCACTTTAATTGCATTTTCCATTTCGCTGGGTGTTCTTGTATGTCAGGGTACAATTCAGGTACAAATTTGCCTTGGCCTGAATCTCGACGCACTCTTTATTTCCTGTGAAAATGAATCCGACTTAATATGATCTCAAGGATTGTGATATTTCTATAAGATTTGAGGTAAGACTTTCACTGATATGTCCACCAAGATGTAGAGAATCCCCCACAACATCAGCAGTATGTAGGAGCGTACACAACAGTACTGCAGTCAGGGCATCAATTTTCTATGGGAAATTAGTATTGAGGCAGCCAGCAATGGTTGTGAAGCACTTATCCTGAGCGTGGCTCCCTCCCTCACTATGCTCCCCTTACTGTACCACGACTGGAGGGGAGGAGGTTTCCACTGTTTTTCTGTGCCATGGGGAGAGGAGAGCGCTGGAAGTAGAATCATGTCTGCCTCCGACTCGAGTGCCACAGGACTGATCAACAAGGTATGCTCTTATTGCTACCGCCTTCTTTGAAAGACAATCTCCCTGCATGCAAAGGCAGCCTTTTTCATCCACACGACTTCTAAATGGCTGCTCAGAGACATTCAGGGGACTTCACTTTTATCAGAAGTGTGCACGGGTTTAGTCACTTTGCCTGCATCTCCCCTCTTGACTCTCTCTCCTCTCTCATTTTCTTCACCCAATGTTGACATGCTGCACTGAACACATGCAATTTGTTATTCATTTTAACGGAAGTCAGCTGAAAATGAAGGATTACGCTGATGTTATGACTCATTGGGTGGCTCATCTGTTGAACATTATCAACTTGGATCAATAGTTTGTTTTAAAACTCCTTTCTCTGGGCTATGAGTGTGTTTTAAATCAGTGTTGTAACAGTGTCGAACAGGACTCTGACAGAGACATGTAAGTCTGAATCATTTAGCTTTTTTTCAGTTATTTATTGTTTTTGGCTGCTCACCGGATAACACAAAAGACATATGGTGTTTCTGTTTGTTTGTTTGTGTGCGCTTGTATGTGTGTGTGTGTGGGTATCTTTCAGCTCAGGTTATTATTGATAAAATATATGATTTTTTTTCCCATTCTATCCAATTTCTAATTTCTTTTAGGCTTTTACATTTTAATTATCATGAGATGGTATTAAGAGTATTAGTCCACCTTAGACTATTGTTTAGTTCTGTAATTTCATTGAACCGTATCTATGTGTCTTAGCAGTATTTTATAGCTGCTGTATAACTGCAGCTTATTAAAAACTTTTAACTGAAGCAAAAACTCAGCCAGAAGGTTGGGTGGGTGTATGGGGTATTCATGTGGAGCTGTGTTTTATAGCTATTTGTGGAGTAAATGTGCTGCCCTCTGCTGGTGGGGATCTGCAATGTAATCACGTGTTTCAGTCTCTAATGGGAAGACCAGCATGTGAGGGCTTTCTAGTTATCAGCCTGTTTTTTGTTTTGTTTTTATCTCACAGAGGTATACCATGGTTTCTAAGTACAGTAGATTTGTGTTTTGTGTAAAAAGAGAATACATAGATGTGTTAACAATCTTTGTAATCATCCTAGCATTAGGGTAATGTCATAAAATGGAGGAAGAGAGACAGATTGAGGCAAAAGTACAGCCCTAGCATCCACATAGAAGAAAACCAATAAATCTGTAGTTTGAACTGTATACTTAAGCCCATTCAAGGACTTTACAAGTATGTGTTAACTTAAAAATAGTTTTGGAGATTTTACTTTCTGAAATCATTTTACACCTTCTCTGAAGTTGATACAGACTGTATTCCAGTCAAATTTAATTCTATTCTAAAATACTTTAACAATCCCAAAGGGAAATTAAAGTTTGAAGTAACTCATAGTGTGTATACGCTGATTGCTAGGCAGTAAGGATCTTCTGTAGTGGTAGTAATGACATTTTGTCTGCTCATGTTATAGAAAAATGAAAACTGAAGTCAACAGTTATGTTTTTTTCTCGAAGTGCAAAATGTTTTCCACTTTCTGTTTTAATCTGTCATAGGCAACTGTAGTATATATCATTAGTTTTTTGTTCAACGATAACTTATAACCATAATGAAGTTGTCTTTTTATGTCTTAGTAGCAGTTTTTTTTCCCAGAAACCCTTTTTTTACACAATGATATACTAATTTAATAACTTTATTTTTTCTTGACTTAAGTAGAAACCCCTTTTACAATTATTGGGAGACTTGGTCAAAACTTCCAGCAATAAGTATTTTGTGAGGAAACAAAGTGACTCTAAGATGCCACTCTTTGTCGCAAATCCCTCAAAGATGGTTTTAGGGATTTGTTTTAATCTTCCTTACCCTTTTCCTCATGGGTTTCTGATAGGGAAACAAAAACATGTTTTTTCAGCTGTGTGTTTCTTCTGTGACTCACTTTACAGTGTTGCTTTACACTGTGTTCCTCCTCATATAAAGTTGAAAAATACCTTTGAAAAACTTCTCAAAGAGCTCTCTGAAAATCCCCTTCCACTGACCACAGCCAGTTAAAAAAAAGTTCTGCAGTATTTATTCCAGCTACATTTTCTCATTGTTGACATAGTTTCCATTATATTTTCTACACACCATAATCCTACGTGTTCTGTCTATTTTAAGAGCATTTTGCAAAGGTTGGTCATAAAATGGGACTCGTCTTGGTATTTTGATTGACAGCCGATATGGCTCTGTGGAAATAATGCAGTTTTACTCTATTTGCACTTCATAGTAGCTCCTGGCAAATATCTTTTTTTGGCTTTTGTTTAAACCAATGAAACATCGTTACAATTTGTGGGGGACCAGGACAAAGGTGAAAATGTTGGCCCACATTGACTGGCAGTAGCAGCAGTTTGGACAAACGATTTCCTGAACGTGGACTGGTGAGCTTTTTTTCAAATGGCTGACTAACAGGCCACCTAATGAAGAAAGCTTTAGTTTCTCACTGAAAGTCCCAGCCTCCATCCTCTCTTCAAATTGGTTGGTATTTATTTCCTCTTGACATGTGATTTAAAGTTGTTTAGGTTCATTGCTTGTTCCTTGATGGTGACCTTATTGGGCTGGGACATGACCAGTTGTGGCTGCTGCTCTCTGAAACAGGGGAGAGTCAATAGTGCTGCTTAAATCCAAACGTAACCTTTTCCATCCACAAATGTTGAAAGACATACAACACATTAATACAACAGATGAAAAAAGTAGTTGTGAAGTGCTCTTAAAAATAACAAACTCCAGAAACCACAGCAAGTGTTCAGCACAATGCAACTGTTCTGACTGACTGATTGCTTTTTCCTCTCCTGGCTGAGTCTTATGATGGAAAACCCACCCTCTGTCTGTCTACTGTCAGTCAAAAGTCTTTATGCATATTCTGCCAATCAGCATTGAGCAGCCAGCTTCAAGACCTGCCCCTGGCCCGCCCCTGCTCCATAGATCCCATGGCCCAATCCAACTACCCCTTCACTATCAAGTGTTACTCCCAGTGAAGTCACACTTGTAGTAATGGAGGGCGCTTTGATAGAAGGTGGAGTGTATAAATGAGAAAGGGACGCTCTCTTCCCTCAACCAGAAAAGGAAAGCAGTCGTTGCTATGACAACAGTGATGTCAAATGTGTTTGGCTGTAGCTCTGTTGCGCAGGTTGACATGAAATCAAACATTAGCACCTATGAGAAGCTTAGTCTAACGGGAAGTGACGGATTTTTGCGTGTTATCCAATCAGGGCCCTTCTTTCGCCAAACATACTCATGATATAACGTGCATTTAGCAGATATTTATTGCAGCTTAATGTATGAAATTTAAAAAGGCTCATTTGACCAAATATTTAATGAAATATACAGAGGAGGTTTAGCCTTCCTAGTATTCAATGAGACATCGCCACTGGACACATCGTTTGTCATAAAAACAAAGTAGTCCTGCAGGTGCGAACATTGATTTTGAGACTCTGGTCGCTTAGTAAATTTTGTCTTACCCAAAGCTACTTACCATTATCTTACTTGAACTTATTACTGAACATTTTGTAAGTGCAATTCAACTGCTACCAGCTAGGTGTTGTTTGGAACTATGCATCTGGTCACATGTTGCTGCATTTCACAGGGACATCTTGTCACATCTTGCCCATGCATGTAAGAAGCCAACAGCATGCCTAATGTACTCTTTGAGACATGACACAACAAAAAAGATCAAACTTGTGAATATTAAGCCTGATAAACCAGAATAAATGTGAGATTAACTATGTAATTTAGTCTGGCCCCAATGGATGAGACATCGGAAGATTGTTGATGAGAACAACGCGTTGTTTTTCAAACCATGTCTGTGCCTATTGGTCAATGCTCTTACCGATGAGCGCAACTAATTGTGAAGTAGAAAGCGAGACAGAAAGCTGGTGGGGGAGTGTAAACAAACAGCCTGGGGGTTAAACAGCGAATACGTCCTTCTTAAAAATAAATTAGCATAGAGCCTCTTCGTGCTCACGTTTCAATGAAAACCCCAAGTCTAATCCTTCCAAAACTGATTC